AACTGGTTGATGGAACTAAGCAGAGGATAAAAAAAACAAAAAAAAAAAAAAGAAACTGGAAAAGTCTTCTAGAAAACTGCACCGTAACTAATTTGCTCAAGAAAACCATTCACCCAGTGTATGCTTATTGATAGGGTCGTTAACGTTAGATGAATGCTGGCTGAATGAATGGATAGATAGACGGATGGATACGTCTTAATATTCATCCAAAAAAAAACCACATTAACATATCCAATCAGTTGAGTCAACTTTTTCAGTGATTAAATCACTAAAGCTGTTATTGTTTAGATGCAAATATTTCTACATCTCATCAATTTTTTTTCATCATTTGCAAACAATTTTTCCTGCTTTTTTTTTCCTCTTCCTTGATTAGCTGTTGTAAACTGAATGAACTAATAAAAAATGACTATATATTCAGTCAAAGACTAAAGACTAAAATTTTCGATCTAGCAACATTTGATACTGCAACGTATAATGAAAACTAAAATATGTGATTAACTAGAGTGGCCATCACTGGTTGGAATTGGGAAGAAAAAAAGAACCGGGAAAAAAAAAATAATGGAAAAAAAATCAAAATTAAACTTCAACAAAAATAAAAAAAAAATTTGGAACCTAATTAGTTCAACAACTAATTAAAAATGCAATTGAAAATGCACGGCTAACAATGATATTTCCAGTAAATTTGCTTCTTTTTTTTTTTTTTTTTATTCTCAATTAGGAACTGTCCTCAACTGTGCAAAGGAGAGGTTAAGTCAAAAGTGAAGAATAATTTTTACACTTTACGATATTAACTTCAAAGACGATTATTTTGCATCCCCTATAACAGTTAACAGTAATTTAAAGACTCCTACCGCTCTCAAATTTTTCTTCTTCCTGTTGTTCAAAGCAAAAATCTACAGCGAAAATGATGGCTATAAATCAGTGAAATTGAGCTGATGCTGCAATTTTTGGAGGATTTTCAAAGATTTTTGGTCGCTTAACGTTCTTGCGGTCTGACTGCAACTGCAACTCCTATGCTTCCCAGTTGATCACTAACAGTCAATGTGTTTTGCTATCCGCTGTACTGATTCGTTCACCATCAATGATCGTTATTTGCTTTACATCATTGCTCGGTTGTTCACTGATTTAATCTTACAGTTATTTGTGACTCACCTTACTACATCGTTAAAACGACAACTCAATCAGTTAAATCATAGGTAAATATTGCGCTGATACAACTAAAACGGCAGACAAATAGGAAACATTCAGCAGTGTAGATCTTCGATTTAGTAAATATCCGCTCCCAACTCCCCGAGGTGTCATATTGCCAGATAAAAACCTAAAACGACCATTGCATTGCCCGTCATGTGCCGCCTGAAATGCTGACGAAGAAATTTTATTTTGCTTTAACGGAATTACACAGTATTTGCCAATCCATCTAAGCTATTTTGTTGCCATGATTCTGGAGCGACGTTAAACACAGCTGTTGTTCACAACAAACAGAAAAGACACCGAACCAAACCAACTAATATGCCTGATATGCTACAAAATTTTTAGGCAGCAAAAGCACACCAATTATGACCATTCCAAAAAATTTTTCCAGATCACCGACAATGAACTAAAATCGCAAATACGATTAGTCGTCCATTAAAGCAACACTATCTGCCTCTTAGCCAAAAGAAAAAAAAGGTTTTTTCCTCTCATTCTTCACTGTTTTTCTTCGCGTCTCGCAGAATTTAGCAGTAAGAATAAAAAGTATACTCTGCTATATAAACTCGGTTTTCTAACTCAGCTTTAATTCTGAACTTTAAATTAAATTTTCCTTAACCACATGCCTAGCAACTTTATTAATACAAACATATATATATACATCTTTTTGACAACCTTAAAATGTTTAATATAAAGATAAAATGTTTGAAGAAGTTTATCTGCCGGATAGTTGACAGCCGTACACATACGCATACACAAACAAGTAATCTTTTGGGCTTATTTAATCCGACTAAGTACTAATAATTAGTGCATCTAATGCAGAGTACTTACTGCGTAGTTTTTCTTCCATTTTTCCAGAACTTTTATAAATATTGTTTGGAATAACAGGAGAAAAATGGTAATAATAAAAAGAATTATAATTTACGTTAAAACAACATCAATATATAGTATTAAGTTTCATTTTCAACAACCACAAAAGCAAATATTGTCAACAATAAAATATGATATCAGTATTTTGAAGTAACAATTAAAACTCTGTAGAACATTGTTGAATCGATGACAAACGATAAAACCAAAGATGTAAACCGATAACAAAAACAGCGTCAACAATTTCATTTCAGCCTTTACTTTTATTTCGTTTGCCTAATTCAATATTTTTTAAATTTAATATTGTTTTTAACTACGGATCATTTTATGAACAAATTTTAAAACTGCTACTTCATCGTTTTGTTCAGTTAACCTCTAAAAACATATTTACTGCAATGCCAAACACATTATTATTTATCCAGCGAAATCCACAAAACAACTGAGCTGTATCCTGTCTTCTACTTTCCTCTCCTCCCATCGTCGTAGTCGTAGGTCATACAATATATACGGTAAAATTCCAGTAGTTTATCCCTGTGAATTGATTTTTCTTTGCGCACCATTCGCCACTGTAATGCCTCTTTAAGATTTTTTAAATGAAGGGGATTCCGGTTAACGTTTCCAATATGTTGTAAGCACCTTAAATGATTTTCCAGTTTTAATTTCTGAACTGAAAAAAAAAAAGTCGTACCAAGTAAAGAAACAGCAATTCCAAATCCCGCTATGATCCAAACAAGCACTAAAACTCATTTAAGTGTGCAGTGCCTTACTTTCTTCTTTTCTTTTCAATTTTTTGTATTTTGTTTCAAGTCTTTTTTTTTTGGTGCCTATAATGTAATTCATTAGTACACTATTTAAAGGTTGACATTATTCAAACAAGCCAATAATTACTTTTCATCGGGGTACCACCTGTTGAATGACAACTCCTACACCAAACAACAGTAGTTTCGTCCCCAAAAATTCACTGCCTCGTTTTTTAACTAAATGCTTCCTTGTCTGAATATGTATTTTCACAACTTTGCAGATCAAGAAAAAATCTAGAACCTATCAGTGTTCTGCAAACTCCACAAAAACATTTTGGATATAACAACGGTAGATTAAAAATAGAAATAGAAAAATTAATCAGTAAATTCAAAGCTAATTTATATACTCCAAAAAAGACCTGATAACAAATATTCTGCAATGTTGGCAGACTTAATGAAAAAAATATAAAGCTCACGAGTGCTTTTTCTCTTAGACCTTTTTCAAAAAATATTCCCTCTTGACTCTTCAATCAAATCCTCGAATGGTAGAAAATCAAGCCCCTAGTTGTTTTATAACATAAATTTTTGAAGCTGATCACTAAGATCAACAGTAACGGCATTTACGCTTTGTCTAAGGGTATCGACTTCACCAGCTGCTTCATTATGCGCTTGTAGATGTCACATTGTTAGAAGCACCACTTTTAGAAGATTTAATAAACGCATTAGAAGTTTTGCCAGAAATCGCAATTTCTCTCAAGACAGTTTCATTAGTGTTTTTCTTGCGAATCTCAGTTAATTTTGAGGCAGTTCTGGTGGCAGCCTTCTAAGAAATACAATTTTTATTGAGCCAGTACTATTGGCAGTCTTTTGAAAAACTTTTGTTTTTCCCAAGACTTTTCTGGTTGCAGTGCTTTCAGAAATACCACTTGTTTTTGAGACAGTTCTCGTATCAGTTTCTTTAAAAATCGCAGTTTTTCTTGCGGCATTATTAGAAGCATTCCTCACAAGAATCTTTTTTCTTTTTTTTTTTTAAAGACACCTCCAGCATCAACCTAACTAGGAATCCTAGTTGTTCTTGGAACAATCTCAATAACAGTCTTATCCATAATCATAAATCCTCTCAAGGCAAGTCCATTAGCGGTCCTTTTGAGAATCATAGTTGTTCTCGAGGCAATCCTATTAGTAGTCTTATAAGGACTTATGGCTACTCTTGAAACAGTTACAACAGCAATCTTAGTAGAAATCCCATTTGTTCTTGAAACAATCCCATTAGCAATCTTATTACGAATCTCATTTGTTTTGAAAACCCTTATACCGAACATAACTTGCTTAATTGCAAGCTCTGTTGCTCCTTTAGGATGGATGACATTCTATTCGTTTTTTGGTTGTCAAAAAAACACCTATTTGCCCACGATAAATTTTACAACTTTCAATGCAAATATTTCTTCAAGTTCATAAGGTAATTGCTAGCTAGAAAAATGTTTACAGAAACTACTTTTAAGATGTAAAGTGCTCTTCTTGATAGAAATGACACCTCTGACAAAAGAGTTTTACCAATGCAAAAAATGAAGATAAAAGGATCGAAAACCTGATAAGTTTAAAATTTTTTGTCACGTTCATGAATCGCATATACCTATTGAAACAGTAGTTATAAGATGTAATATTGCAACATTTTCGCGAACTGTTTCATGAGCCATACTAGTGGCGACTGAGGGAATTTAAACGAACAAAATACACCACGGTTTTCCAACTCTCCAGTAAAGTATTAAACCCCTGTATTTTAGCTAAATGTTCAGTAGTTTCAGTAGTCTGTCTGCTAATAATTGATTTCGCTAACAGTTCCTGATAGTTTACTTCTTAATCACTAACTACTATGAAAATAATGCAGTTAATTTAACGGCCTATGCCCTCTCAACTGTTGCACTTTATTCGGACTTTGTTTCAAAAGCAGTTTCTAATTAGTACCTCTAAAATTAGATTCATTCTGCGAAAGCTTTTAATTTTGCAACTTTTCTCAAATGTATTTGTTCGTTTTTCAAAACAAAAAGTACGATGGTCACAAATTTGTCTTCTTTTTATCAAAAAAAAAACCATGAAAAACCTGACCGACAAAGATAAATTTAAGGGGTACGTAGACAACTGGTAAAATAATACCTAGCATATGCACGGAACGCTTAAACCACAGTTGTTAACGAATAAAGACAAAAACTGAAAAGTGTACAAGAACATAAATGTTGTGGTCAGCCCAATACTTCCTCCTAATAATAGTGTCTGTCATCCTTCCAAAAAGTTTTCTCAAAAAAGTCTCAACAACCAACACTCTCTCTGCTTCCTACCTTACCTGTGTATTGCCGTAGTGTATCGGCCTTCTTTGATTTCAAAATTTGAACAGTTTTTTAGCGACGACGTGATATCGACTAGAGGAGTCAGGGCCACTGCATACAACAATAGATAGGCTGTTGAGCTAGCTTTTTTCTAAAACTGAAACAAGCAAATAATGATCCATTCTCCAACCAATAGATCTTCCAGACATCTTAACTGGAACAATATGTTTTTGATCGCTTTGTTACATCAGAGAATTATGTCTTTCTGAGTAACAAGTTATCATTACATTTATGCTCACATGGTGACATCCATGATTGACTGTATCTATCGTGTAAAGAACGTATATTTTCATATGTTTGTTACTATCTTCTTTGTTCATTTAGCAAATATGAATAAGAAAATGAAAAATTAAAGAAAAAAGTAAATGTAGACTAATCATAAGATTTGCAACTGTTGTTACTGCTCCAGTTTC